AAGAGAGAGAGAGAGAGAGAGAGAGAGAGAGAGAGAGAGAGAGAGAGAGAGAGAGAGAGAGAGAGAGAGAGAGAGAGAGAGAGAGAGAGAGAGAGAGAGAGAGGAAAGGCAGACAGGTACTGCAGGGGGGAGCTTCTTCAGGAACAGGCACCGCACCAAGGATTAAGAGAAGCTCCTGGGCGCGTCCGAGGGCGAAAACAGGAATGAGGCAGCGGCCACCGCGTTGTACAATCGTGTGAACTTCTTTTGTGAAGCGACGCTCGCGATCCTGACGGTTTTCGTGCTCCAGGTCGCCAAGAGTGGATTCCTATGGCCCAGCAGGTCACGTGCACACTTTGAGGTGCGTCTATGTGCAAAGCCTATGGACATGCAAGGAGTGGGTGGGGACATACTGCAATAAGAATGTCGGGCTTGATAGGCGGAATACTGGCGGCCATGAGATGTCGATCCTCATCTCGGGAAAAGTCTCCCGTGTACAAGAGCTGTGTTGATCATGGCAACAAAAGGGTGTGAATGAGCTTTCTTGTATAGCCTTCATCCGCGCACCAAGCAAAACACGGAGCATGAGTGTAGACCTTGACGCCCGCAATATCAATTTCAAACATGCAGGCTCCGAGAACATGGCCCGCCGAGTACGGGGTGAAGGACAGACCACGGAGCATAACCTAGGATGGCACGCACGCCGTGAAGGTGAATGAGGCCTCACCACGAGCCGACAGCTTGCACAGGACCAGTGTCTGACAAACAAAAGACAAAGCCAAACGGGCAGTGAACCGTTTGCTCACCGTTTGCTCAAAGTCGACAGTCTCAATGCGCTTCATGGTGTTTTCAATGTCCTTGTCGGAGAACAGTTGGTTGTCGTCGGTGGTGGCGTTGATTCGCACATAGTCGGTGAGCATCCACTGATAAACGGCTTTGGTGGCATGGGTCATAAAGACGCGGCCCTTGAAAGGGGTCTGGAAGAAGGGTACAGTGGTCGTGGGCGGAGGCCACAGGAATGAGGCGAGGCAAGGCCACATGCAAGGTGGCTAGGTCGTGATGCGACAAACCTTGGAGAGCAGCCAGGGGAGGGCGCCGCAATGATCAACATGAAAGTGGGTGACAAAGCAGAAGTCGACTTGTGAAAGGTCAACCTCATCGACATAGGGGAGCTGAGCCAGACCACTCTTGGCAGGATGTGTGCCACAGTCGAGCTGCACAGCGGGCCGAAGCAGCAGTCATGAGCAAAAAGTCAACGAGCTACAATTTTCATTTTTTTTTTGGCATCGGGCACACCGACCATGATCGTAAAGCCCTTGTAGGTGATGATGTGGCAAGATCGGCCGACCTCCTGCCCAGCGCCACTGCATCATTCAAGATGGCACCAGAATGTGAGTAGAGATACCAGCCAACAGGGGACTCTCCACCCGTTTCAAGCAGTCAGCGGCAAGCAGCAAAAGAACAAGAGCTCTCAGCCACGCAGATCAGCAAGTCAGAGCAGCAGCAGGTGTCAGCCCTCCAAAGCCACCGGAAGCGGTGTGCAGGCGCCGAACACAGCCAGCACAGGGACAAGGGCCGGACGACCCATGGTACCTACAGGGGCATGATGCTGAGGATGTCTTCGGTGTCATCGCGCTCGGTCACGGGTGCCGCCCGCTTCTGCCCCGTCACTGCTGTCGCCATCTTGGCGGGCTCGGAAAATAAGTAAAATACTTTTATGTAAACAGTTGAAGTAAAATACTTTGTTCGTCATGTTGGCTCATCGGGCCATGACATGACGAGATTTCGTCACAGTGACCACAGAGAGATGCGCATGTCAGCAAAGTCCACGACGTCACGAGAGAGAGAAGGGAGAGAAAGAAGAGAGAGAAGAGAGAAAAGAAGAGAGAGAAGAGAGAGAGCTCCAAGCATAGTAGAGGAAGGTCTCGTTTTGCGCATTTTACTTTTACTGTGTGTGGTGTGTGTATTGACGACCGACGACGCCGACCGGCTGCCACGAGATCGGTTGCTGCTGGTTGGCTTGAAGCTGCTGCTGCTGCGGTTGCCCATGCTGGCCTTGTCTCGGTGGCGAACGGCTCAGACCGCTTTTCGCTTTGCTGTTGCTGCCGCTCTGTGCACCGCCCCTGCGACTCGCGCCGTGGCTCAAGGTACACAGCCGCCTTTGCATGCAGCACAATTGGCGAGCACACTCGCAACACTGCAGCCGTGAAACCAAACTGCTTTGAAGTTTCTCACCACCCTTTGCTTCTAAACAGGCTCTTGCTCGGCCTCGGGTATTTGCAGTGAACCCATTACCAGAAACATGGCTTTCGTTTCTCGTGCCGTCGACAAGAAGGTAGGCGGTCGTGCCACACATCCGTCTGCTTCTCTCACGCACGTACATCACCCGCCCCTAGCGTCCTTTGCTCACAAATTGGGCTGGCAATTCATCCATGCTTGCAGGTGCTCTCGCGCGAACAGGGCGAGGGTGCCGGTGCCCGCGTGCGCCGCTCCATCGGAAACGCTGCCTTGCGCAACTTTGACCCTTTCCTGATGCTGGACGAGTTTAGGGTGCCTCTGACCGCGGTACGTCTCCAAACCGTTGAACCAAGAGCTCGATGACCCTGGCTCATGGGCCGGGGCGAAGAGCAAAGGTCGTTGTCGGCCAGAAACAAGGCACGGGGAAGGGACCCGTATTTCAAATGCCACTGTACTGGCTAGTCTTTGATCATTCGCCAGACTCATATGCTCCAACGGCGATCCTGATTTCCTCCTTCTCCACAGGGCTTTCCCGACCACCCCCATCGGTATGTATATGGCCGGCTTGCTTCGGGTGCTGGCCCAGTGCGAGGTCTGTTTTGTTGCTGTTCAACTCATCCTGTTGAAAACGCGCACACAGCGGCTTCGAAACTGTGACTTTTATGCTCGATGGCCTGTTTGAGCATGAGGACTTTGCTGGCCATGCCGGCACCATTGGTCCTGGTGATCTGCAATGGATGACGGTGCGTATTCGCGGCCCATGAAGCAAGCGGTATCGGTGATGCTTGTGCCCTTTTTGTTGCGCAGTAGCCAACTACAGCTGTCCTTTGCAAAGCTGATGCGGGTGATCCTTGCCTTTCGCACATGGCCTCGTACCACCCTTTAGGCTGGCAAGGGCATTGTCCATGCTGAGATGCCCCACCCCGAGTCAGATGCGGAGCCCCATGGCCTTCAGCTCTGGATCAACCTGGGTTCCAAGGACAAGATGGTTCCTCCCAAGTACCAGGAGCTGAAGAACGAGGATATCCCCAAGGTGGAGAAGGACGGCGTCTGGGTTGCCGTCATCGCCGGCGAAGCGCTTGGTACCAAGGTCCGATGCGGCTGATTCATGACACAAGCCAAGCAGAGCGGGCAGATTTTGGCCCTTGACAGCTTGCTCATCTGCTGGCATGGATGGCGTTTTTTTTTACTCACCAATTCTCCTCGCTTGCTGCCTTGTAGTCTCCCGTGTACACCGTCACGCCTAGCTGCTATCTGCACTTCAAGATCCAACCGCAGAGCCGCATTGAGCAGGCGGTAAGCTGAACAGCGGGGGTGTTTGTTGGAGGCCTGAGCTTTTGCATGTTGAACATGGGCTCAATCAAAATACACATTTCCATGTCTTGACCAATAGATTCCACCAGAGTTCAACGCCTTTGTGTACACGCTCAAGGGCAAGCTTAAAATTGGCGACAAGGGCACCGAGATTGATGCTCATCACACGGTGCGGGGCCAAGCTGCGCGGATCATTTTGGCGCCTCTCTTAGACGGTTCTGCCGCATGCGCAACACCCTCACCACACACCGCACGCGGGTTCTTTTGTCCTGTCGGCCCTTGTTGTTGTTAGGCGACCCTGACTCGTGATGCCTCTGCCAATGGCGTTGTCCTCGCTAACGAGGGCGAGGAAGTGGCCGAGTTTGTCCTCATCGGTACGTTTGGGGTTTCCTGCATCTGGATTTCTTCTTGCACGTGGCGTGTGCCACCACCTTGTTGATCATGAACTCATGAGCTCATCTCCTTTTCAAAACGATTGACAGGTGGCGAGCCACACAATGAGCCCATTGAACAATACGGGCCCTTTGTGATGAACACGCGGGAGGAGATTATGAAGGCCTTTACTGATTACCAGAGTGGTCGCAATGGCTTTGAGCGGGCCCCCACGTTCCAGAGCAAGATTGGTCGTCGCATGTATTAAAAACATTGTGGGAACGAGCCTCCTTCGGCCACTTTCTTAAAGGTGTTTATGTTTGGGTCCAAGGGTGGGGGGTTTAGTGTCATCCCTCAATGTGTTAATTGTAATGCAACCCCTTTGATTGATGCTGTTGAATCGTGCAAACCCTGTCAAGACCCGATGGACACAATAACGCGCTGGCACATACTCAAATGCCGCCAAGACCACAAAGAGACATGGTGCCAACCTCCATGGCAGACTCAGGTGGGTGTGCATGGACATTCCAGCAAAAGGGTTCTTTTAGGGGCACTCAGTAATTGTGTATAAAAGTCGTGTACAGCAGCTCGCGCAGCGAGACAGGCGCCTGGTTTCGACCAAGACACCTTTGTTCTTATGGAGTGGCCTCGGCCATGGGGAGACCACTACGGCTCGAGTGACGACGCATGGAGAAAAATGGTTGGCGGGTCACTGAGGCCATAATACCATGAACCCATTCCTCAGCCTCGTGTTGCGTCTCGGCCCGGAAAAGGTAGCGGTCGTGGTTGCCTGTGAAGCATCATTCCATGAGTGGTAGGCGACGCGGGCCCATTGGCAACGCTTGTGATCAGGTCACAAGAGCGAGCCGCAGACAAATGAACCAAGCCAAGGATGGCGCTGACCTTGAACAACCATGCCTTTGGAATTGGTCTTGCAGCCCTTGATGGGCAACGTGCCACCCATGCCATCGTCTGCGCCAACCAGCTCAAAAAAGAAGCCCGGACCCTTGGGTGCTTTCTTTCCTCTGAAAATTGCCGAAAGGTGGCGCATCAATAAGCATGGAAGGGACCATGTGGTATGAGTGGCCCAGACGGACGGGGCTGGCTCGGTACGCACTTGTCATCGGCCACCAGGTGGGCCCGGACGTCCAGTAAAGGAATGATGCCGCTAGGGCTCTCATCATCTTTGTCGCGAAAATAGTAAAGACAGCTGTCCTTGAGCACGACCCAGCGATCCTTCCACGTCTTTTTGGTGCCACCTACGCAGGAAAGCAGGTGGAAAGATGAGTTCAAGCATTGCCAATGCGCATCCAGGGTGCAGGATGGGGAGGAGCCACAGGTCAAAATTTGCAGCCCAGCACGGCAGGAGCACAGGCCAAGAGGCTGGGCTGACCTTCTTTCTTTAGATAGCCTGATTTGGCTGGGTTGAAAAACATTATGCTCAGGCCCTCATCATCGTCTGGAATTTTAAAGGGCGTCTACAACAGCGCCAGCCGAATCAAAGCAAGTGGGCAAAGACAGTGAGAAAAGGCCAAGCAAAGAACAGCAAGGGGTTCTGGTCACAAGGGGAGGGGTTTGAGAAGGTACCTTGGCAATGGAGGCATAAATCTCCTCAAGCAGGGGCCGATCAATGTCCTTGCCTTCGTCAATGCCACGGTTCATGCTGACAAATTCGTCCAAGGAGGGTTTGTGTGCGACCGAAGGGTTGTGTAGGCTGGTGTTGAGCATGATGGTGGCAAAGGCGAGAATAAAGCCGCCGTCCGTGCTGTGAAAAACGTTTGGGTTGGCCTGGCAGTAATGCTTGGCAAAGGTCTCCATCATGCGATCAATCTTTTGTGACTCTCCGGGCAAACGGAAGGACCAGAGATAGCGGCGGAGCGCGGTATCAAAGTTGAGGTCATGGAAGGAGTGGAGACCGACAAACTCGTCGAGAACGGCCAGGTTGAATTCCTTGTTCTCACCCAGGTAGTCGCCAATGGCTTGCTTGGTCAGGTCGCTGGTGTTGGAGAGGAATTCGGCCACTTCATGCGCAGTGCCACCGGCCTCAAAGTAATTTTCCTCGGTCAGGTAGGCAATGCCTTTGTTGGGTTTTTCATTGAAAATGACAATGCCGCGGTTGAGAATGGCCTTGCGATCAAGGCCATCATCCTCGATGCCGAGCTTCTCCTGCTCCTCCTGGATGCGTTGCTCGCACTCGGCCAACTCGGCTCGCAGCGCCAAGATGGCTGACATGCAATCCTTCTTCTTGCGGCGCAGCTGTTGGAAGAAAGTGATGCCATTCTTGTCCAACTTTTCCAACAAGGCCTCTTCCTGCGAAGGATCCACGGGTGTCAGCCCGGGATCGTTCTCCATCGTGCTAGAGGTCGGGGCGCTGCACCAGGGTGGACGAGGGTCGCGCGCGCGTGTGTGTGATCGAGCGCACAAAATGCCCGGCCAGAAAGCTTGCGCCACAACAAGTGTTGTGACCAGGAGATGACAAGCGTGACAGTCTTGCTCGAAAAGCTCCAAAATTTTCGTGTATCGCTTAAACCGTAAAAACGTAATCTCCACGTATTCAAAATTTGATGTTGAAGCCGGCACTGTGAAAACGACGGTTACATGATTGCCGGAGGACAAGAGAACGAGAGTAATGGGGTGGGGGAGAAGAAAACGGCGGGGATGTGAATACAGGAGAGGGCAAGAAAAACAATAAGCGAAATCGGGATTCATCAGGACAGAGTGGCACGCATATTCAAAAGATGCCTTGTCGCCGCCGCCATATGAAAAGCTTGGGAGGAGCAGCAAAAAAGAGAGAGAAGAGAGAGGGAGCAGAGCGAGAATACAAGCAATGAGTTTCCAAGCAATCAATCACTGACCAAAACATAAGTTTTGAATGACAAATCTGCACCAAGTGTACTTTCCCGCCAAAAGGTACACACACACACACACACACACATGAGAGTGAATTTTTCATTAAAATTTCCGTGAGAGGTAATGAAATGGCAGTGGGGAGCCAAATGGCAGTGGGGAAGCGGGGGCTGAGGTGGTTATATTGCCTTGGGGACGGGGGGGGTTGTGGTTGTAGGTGGATGTGTTGGTCGTGGCGTGCACGGCTTGTGTGCGCGTTTGTGTGGCTGGCGGTGGACTGAGTCCTTGTGTCCTTGCCTGGCTTTTGTTCTCCCCCACCTTGTTCCTTTGCCTCCTCGTGGGTCGTCGTCGTGGCCGATGGTCGTCGGCGACGTTGATGTCATCGGGGCACGCGCCCTTGTTCCGAACCGAGCTTGATAGATAGGTGCCAAGCGAGTAAAGACAAGGGCGTGGCTGTTGATGGTTCTTGTGAATGCTGCTTGACTGCCTCTGCACGTTCAAGGCCGCTAATCAGACTCGGCAACTTGGCGTTGGCCCGCGTGGCAACTCCTCTTTTTCTTTTTTTTCCTCTCTCTCTCTCTTGCTCACTCTCTCTCTCTCTCTCTCTCGCGCGCGCGCGCCCATGTTGACTCCTCCTCTTCGTCTTCTTATGCCTAAACGTCTCCACTTTACGCCGCTTGAGCTGTGTTATGCACCTTCCCTTCGGAATTTCGCTTAATCTTTTCGATTGCTCAGGCGAAACAGCGCTCAACCCACCCCCCTTGTTCCTCAAACGTCGATCGCCCACCCTCACCCTGCATTCTTGGTTGTAGCTTGATCTGGGCACTTGCGTAGGCCATCTCCGGGATTCGCTCCGTCTTGGCACTCGTCCACTGGCCAAGCTGCCTCTTTGGCCCGACAGCCGTAACCCAGTTAGCTATACTGTAGCCGAAGCCATGTCGGCGGAGCTTGCTCGGGCCCTGAGGGCCAGTCTTTCAGCTGGTATGTACGCTTGGGATCCCGCAGCTCCACTCATCAAACCTGCTGAGGTTGTGGTCCTAGGTTCGATTAGCCCTCATCTTGTGTTTCTCGACTGGTTGCAACAGATGCCAAGGCCCGCCATGATGCCTCGGAATGGCTTGAACAATACAAGCAAAGCAACCGCGTAGGTAGCCTGCGACCCGCAACGCAGCGCCTTGTGCGCCTCTGCCCACGATCGAGCTCTTACATCTGTTACATTTGACACCGTCATGTGGGCGCAGGGCGGTTTTATGCGAGCTCTGGCTCTTGAGCTGCAAAATGTCGAGCGCAACCAGCAAATTCGCCAGCAAGCCGGTTTGCAGCTCAAAAACTCCCTCACGGGTCAGCACGACAACGTGCGTGACGAGGACATTCAAAACTGGATGATGATTTCCCACGAGGACCGCGAAGCCATCAAGCAGGCCATCGTGGGCACGCTCGGCACGGAGCAAGGCACCACATCCACCGCTGCTCAGGTAAGCAGACCAGGACCTGATCCGGGGCTTTGACCAGTGCTCATTGAACATTCCCACGTCTTTTGCATGGTTCATCCGGCCTCATCCTGGTTCGTATCGGACTACCTTTTCGACCACCTCTTTGACAGGTTATTGCGGCCATCGCCCTCATTGAGATCCCTCAAAACTCGTGGATGGACGTGGTGCCCAACCTTCTGAACATGGTCGGCGCCGCGGCGGCCAGTGAGGCCCAAAAAGTGGCTGGCCTTCAAGCTGTGGGCTACATTACTGATGATATCACCAAAATTGTGTGTTTTCGCTGCTCCACGCGCTCGTGTTCCGTGTTATACTGCGACCTTGCTTGTCATCGCACGGCGTTGTTGGTCACTCACGCTTGGCAACCGCCTGACGTCTGCAGAACCCGGATTTGCTGACAGCACATGCCAATACCCTGTTGACAACCATCATGCGGTTGATCAGCGAGGATCCATCAGCTCACGTGAAGAAGGCTGCTGTGGCCACTCTCAACAACTCACTGGAGTTTTGTGAGCAAAACTTTCAGAACGAGGTTGAGCGCAACACCATCATGTCTTTCATCTGCAATGCCACCCTGCAGCCCGAGGCTGACGTCAAGGTCGCTGCCATTCAATGTCTGGTTCGCATCGTCGACTTGTACTACGAGCAAGTCCACGCCTATATGCGCGAGGGTCTCTATCCCATCACCATTGCCGCCATTCAGTCGGACAACATGGACGCCGTCAAGCAGGGCATCGAGTTCTGGACTACCGTTGCCGATGTCGTACGTCCTTTGTTGACGCGGGGGGATTTCCATAAATTTAGGGCCTTGCCTTGCATTTGAATCTGCGCTTAATGCAGTTCATGAGAGCGGGGGCGGGAGGAGGGCTTCGCCGTCCTGCTTACACCATGCGACTTATCTCTGTCCTATAGGAAATCGAACTGCAGGATGCAGCCGATGAGGCTCGCGATCGTGGCGAGACGCCCGAGCACACAAGCAAGCACTACTGCCAGGGTGCACTTGAGCAGCTCCTGCCCAACCTGCTCAAGTCGCTTGCCGTGCAGGACGAGGATGATGATGAGGTCAGGACATCCCTTACCATGTCTGACTCCCCGGTTGCAGCACTTGTTGGCGGCGAGCCGTTGCTCTCGACCGCCTCATGTGCCTCGCTTTGCCCTCGTTTTCCGGTCGCGCGCGCGCGCGTGCCTGCCTGCCTGCAATCGTGACTCATCTCCAAACATCTCGGGAACCATAGGATGAATTCACCGTGTCAAAGGCCGCTGCCGTGTGCCTGGCGTCATTGTCAGAATGCTGTGGCGATCCTGTTTTCAACGCTTGCGTGCCTTTTGTGGAACAGAACTTGGCCAACTCAGATTGGCGCTTCCGTGATGCCTCGGTGCTGGCCTTTGGCAACATTTTGCGTGGTCCCACCCAAGAGACCGTCAAGGCCGTGACCAACCAAGCCCTCCTTCCCCTTTTGGGCTTTGCTCAAGATCCCTCCACAATTGTCCAGGACAGTTTGGCCTGGATGCTGGGTGTTATTTGCGATCTTTTCCCTGACATTGTTCTGCAGCCAGCTGTTCTGCCCTCGGTTCTTGGGGCCATGTCCCAGGGCTTGCAGAGCGAGCCCCGTGTGGCCGTCAACGTCTGCCATGCGCTCTGCTTCCTCGTTGAGGGTGCCTATATGGTGGCCCTCGACAACCTAGGCCAGCACGAGGAAGAGGTTAACACGAATGCGCTCTCGAGCTCCCTGGGCCAGATTCTGCCCGCCCTTTTCACGACCATTGATCGCGATGATGTGATGGAGAGCAACCTCCGCTCCGCCGCCTATGAGGCCTTGGCGGCTGGCCTGCAGTTCTCTCCTTCGGACTGCTACAATCTGGTGATCCAGGCTATCGAGTCGGTTCTGTCCCGTCTTCAGTCCACTGTCACCATGTCCGTGTCCTCCCAAGACGACATGCGTCAGTTTGCCGAGGTCATGTCGGGTCTTCTTTCCGTTCTCCAGGTTGGTGCCTTTATCCGGCTGTTGTCGGGGCTACGTCATAGCGCTTCTCTCGTCAATCAAGATGTCACTTCCATCTTATCGTGTACAACCTTGTGTAGACGGGCATTCGCCGCCTGGGCCAGCAAGATTTGCAAATGGTGGCTGGTTCTATTGTGGAGGTGCGGCGCGTGTTCGCTTTTTCTGCTCCACCGCGTGTTTTGCCAGCCAAGACCCGTGCAGTAGACCCTTACGATCTTCCATTCCGGCTTTGTGCTCACATGCCTAACCTGGTTGGCAATTCATCTGGTGTTGATGTGCAGCTTCTGGTCCAAGTGCTGTCCTCGCGCCAATACGACAGCAGCAGTGTCGTCGAGGATGCTCTAGTGACGCTGGACGCGCTGGTGGAAGGTGTGTAAGACGTCTGCATGCGCCTTGCACCTGTTTGGTGGAACCAGCGCTTCGTTTGTGATAACCAACGCTTGGATCTCACCTGCATGCCCTCGCTGGCCCCACTGTAGGTTGCCAAGCCAACTTTGAGCCATTTGTAGAACGCGTCAAGCCGTTTGTGTTGGAAGCGATTCGCCAAGTGCAGCACGGCGATACTTGCTTTGTGGCCGTGGGTTTGGCTGGTGATATTTGCCGACAGCTGGGCGAGAAGTGCCTGCCCCACTGCCCCGATTTTATGAACGAGCTGCTGCAGGCGCTCATGGCTTCGGAGGTGGACCGCAAGGTCAAGCCTGCCGTGCTTTCTGCGTTTAACGACGTGGCGCTGGCCATTGGCCCCAACTTTGGTCAGTTTTTGGGCGTTGTATTCAACGTGCTGGCACAGGCGTCTCAAGCTGCCGTGGATCCGGAGGATGATGACGAGGACACGATCGAGTTTTTGAACGAACTGCGTACGGGTCTGCTGGAGGCATACACTGGCATTGTCCAAGCCATGGCGGGCGAGTCGATGCAGCTGACGCCGGCACTTTCGGAGATGGGCCCACAGTTGCAAGGACTGCTCAACTTTATGATGCAGATTGCAGAACGGGAAATGTCGGACGAGGTTGTGCGTCTTAGCTGCGGCATGATCGGGGATCTGTCGCAGGTATTTGGCAAGGCCATCGGCCCTTACCTGGCCCCACAATATCTCCAGGTGTTGAATGGTCGTGCCATCGCCTCTGCCGATGAGGCCACCCGTACCATGGGCAAGTACATGATGCACCATGCTGCCAAGGCCCGGGCATAAGCTTTGTTTGTGGCTGGAATGTCCAGCGCATTTTCTTCCATTCTTTCTTGTACCTCTCCTATCGTGTCTGATAAATTTCCTGCCCGCTGGCTTGTGGTTGTGCCAATTCCTCTTTGTCTCGGAATGGGCAGGGAGAAAGCTTTTTATGTCTTCTCTACATTTGGTCTGTGCCCGCCTAATTTCCATTTTTCCCGCCATGTCTCCACCATGTCATGTCAATTCTTGCGTACGGTTTCCCAACCCCCCCCCCTTTTTTTCTAATGGCGGGGGTTCATGCTGTTTTGTTGTGCCTGATGCCTTTCCTGCCTATCGTGTCTTTTGGGTTGTGCCTGCCTTGTTTCGAGTCGATGTCTCTAGTCAACAATCAGCATCACTTCTTGGATCTTTCGTCCCAACTCACCAGCTGGAAGTCTTTGAGATGTAAAAAGGGAGAGAAAGAAAGGAATAAGTCATCTGGCGAAGGTCTTTCGGCTGCGGCCTTTTCCGTCCTAGCCCAGATCCTTGAGTTGTACAACCAAACTGGACTCTGTTTTAAAGACTGACGTGCCAACCACTGTTTGTCAATTGGGTGCGGCTCTGCTGATACCGACAACAGAAGCCAGTCTTCATGAAACGCGAGCGAGAGAATCTTCATTACCACACGTGACAGAGAGAGAGAGAGACAAGAGAGAGAGAGAGAGAGAGAGAGAGAGAGAGAGAGAGAGAGAGAGAGAGAGAAGACAAGAAAAAGGAGTAAAAAACAAACTTGTCGTTGACAACCAAAATTTCTCAAACACACAAGATAGGGTTTGTTTGTGGTGTGAGTGTGTGTGATATCAACACAGTGTTTTGGGTTGAATTTTGGCGACTGTGTGTGGTGTGAACACGAGTCACGAGAGCTGGCAGGAGTTTGGACCGCCACATCGATCGTGCGTCAGATCGTCCCTTGTCCTTGTTCTGTTCTGCTGGAGACGCCAGGACGGCGTAGACATTTTTCTTTGCCTCTTGGTCAGAGCGTGTGTGTGCCATCGCTGGGGCTGTGACTGTATCTTGCTCTTGTTGGCTGAGTTGGACAGCGCCCGCTCAGCAGCACAAAACGGAGCTGCCCTCTAACCCTCTCTGTCCGTGGCTGCTGCCGTCTGTTTGCTCGACAGTCTGGCTGCCTGGCCACTCAACCCAGTCATCCCGTCGTTCGTACGGTGCACAAACCATTCTTCCTGACGGCCCTGAGAAGCGCTCGGAAGATTGCTGCCAAACCACCCCGCACCACGCTTTGCACCTGTTTGTGCTGACGGCATCACCAAAAGCGTCCACACCATTACAACAAAAGGACCAACCCTTTATGCGCACATGCTATCCATTACAACCAACGGCTACGCAGCCCCTTGCTCTGGCTGACGGCACAGCCACAACCTCGATCATACCCTCGCTCCCTCCACTTCTTCTCCTTGCTGAGGTGCCCCACCTCGCCCCGCCTCCCTTCCGGGCGCCTGGCCATGAAGCGTGGGACACCTGTTCATCCGGCGGGTATGTCCTCCCTCTTTTGTCCCTCTGTTGTTACACTCACTCTCTCTTTCTCTCTTGATTTTCTCTCTCTCTCTTTCTGTGTGTCTCTCTCTGTCTTGTCTCTCTGTGTGTCTCTCTCTTTGTCATTTTTCTCCTCTTTGACCTTGGGTCCTTGCTGGCCTTGTTTCCGGTTGGCTTTGGCGCCTTGCGCGGGACGGTGGTCATCACCACTCTTGGCAATTGCTCTTGGGCGGATAAAGCGAGTCTGTTGCTCGGTGCTGTTCATGTTTGCATTTTGTGTGTGAGTCCATCTCCCTCTGTGTGAAACCTTGTGTGTGTGTGTGTGTGTGTGTGTGTGTGTGCAGGGCTCCAACACTTCTCTCTCTCTCTCTGCCCTTATTTCTTTTTTTCTTTTTCTTTTTCCTCTTTGTTTGGGACTCACTTACTCGCCCAGCACACTCATTCTCCCCGGTCGCCGCAGCATGCAAAGGCTCACTGGTGTGTGTCATGCTTTTAGAATCCCCGGACAGCGCCATGGCCTCTCCTTCCCCACCTCCCGCTTCCAAAGCGGTTGCCCAGGTCCGCCCCTCCCCGAGTGATGTCGCCCCCGAAGCGCGGTGGCACCGATCCTTTGCCCGTCTGGCTCACACACGGCTCCAGTCGCAGGCATCCAACAACACAACCACACAGGGCAAAAGCGACATGGGCGCCTCCAAAATTCCCGTCAAGGACCTGTACGTTCGCCACTTGCTCCCAAAACGGGCTTTTTAATTCGACCCGGTCCCTCACTGCTGCCTCCCCCGCCACCACAACAACGCATCACCATCTTTCTCTGGTCCTTTTTTGGCACATTCATCTTCTTGTTGCCTGATCAACTTAGATATGGTATGGTTGACCCCAAAAGCGCCGAAAAATTGGCTGAGCTTGGTGGGCTCGATGCTATTGCCAAGAAACTTGATTCCAACACCGAACGCGGCCTTTCTGCCGATAAAGTCGATGAGAATCGCGCCATGTAGGTTTCCCCCACTCGCTCGTCCTGGCTCTTTCATTGGCAATTCCGATCCACTGCACATCTAGGCCCATGGTCATCTTATCCTTCTCCTTTCTTTGCCCTCTCCCTGGCTGTTTTTCAGCTACGGGATCAACAAGCTGCCCGACGTCAAGTTTCGTTCCTTCATCATGCTAGTCTGGGATGCTCTTCACGACCGAACCCTCATCATGCTCATCATTGCTGCCTGCATTTCTCTGGCCGTCGGCATGTCGACCGAAGGTTTGTCCCACCACTACCTCCTCCTCCTTTCTGCCTGTCTCATCCAAACACGTCTCGTACCCCACCCTTCCCCTCTCACGTCTTCAACTCCTCGCGCCCAGGACCCGAACTGGGTTGGAAAGATGGCGTGGCCGTTCTCGTGGCCGTCGTCCTCGTCGTCTGCATCAACAGCGGCAATGACTATCAAAAAGAAAAACAGTTCCGAGCCCTCAACGAAGCCAAAAACGACCATCCCGTCTCTGTTGTCCGCGATGGCCGTACGCAACGCATCTCCATCTACGACATTGTGGTCGGCGATATTGTTGTCCTACAGACTGGTGATATCATTCCCGCAGACGGCGTCTTTGTTTCCGGCGAGGGTGTCGAGGCGGATGAATCATCTGCCACGGGTGAGTCTGGCAACGTGAAGAAGAACGCCGACAGAGAGCCCATCTTCCTCTCTGGTACCCAGATCGCAGCCGGCAACGCCAAAATGCTTGCCATTTGTGTCGGTGAGCAATCCTTCTACGGCCAGGTCATGCTGGCCCTCCGAACCCCTGATGAAGACACTCCCCTCCAGGAAAAGCTCTCCAGGCTAGCCGACGCCATTGGTAACTTTGGTATCATCGCTGCCGTTTTCATCTTTGTCATTCAAATGATCAAGTACTTTGCCATCAACGGCAGTGATCTCGACGGCGATGAGACCGGCAACAACGTCGTTGGTTTCTTGGTCATTGCCATCTCCATTGTCGTCGTGGCCGTGCCTGAGGGCCTACCCCTGGCCGTCACCATTGCACTCGGTTATAGCAGCCAGCACATGATGCGCGACCATAACTTAGTCCGCCATCTCGAGGCCTGTGAGACCATGGGTGGGGCGACCACCATTTGCTCCGATAAAACCGGCACTCTCACTCAAAACAAGATGGCCGTTGTCCAAGGCATGGCCCTAGACAAGACCTTTGAGCAGGACCGTAAAGGCCAGCCGAGCGGTGCTGGGCGTGCGGAGCCCTGGCCCGTCGACAAGCAAGGGCAAAGCCAGAGCCTGTCCACGGATGCTATCAAGATGTTCCTCGATGCCCTCGCCCTCAACAGCACGGCCTATCGCAGTGAGAACAATGAGGGCGAGATCACCTTTGTTGGCAGCAAGACCGAGAGTGAGTCATGCCCGCGCGCTTACCCCTTTTCCGACTCACACTTGGCTTTGCGCGTTGAGAAGTGCAATCCTATGCTGTTCATTTTTTCATTTTTTTTTTCATTTTTTTTTCCATTTTTTTCTTTCTTTTCTCCCAATGTGTTGTGTGCTGCGATGTCCTGGCCGATTGCTGGTGGCTGATGACTGACGGCTAACGGCTTGCTTTTGATCTGATCTTTGCTGTCGTGTGCCCGCTCTCCCCCAGCTGCCCTGCTTGAGTTTGCGGAGCTGTATGGCTGCGACTTTGAGCTGCGCCGTTCTGCGGTGGATATCGCCAAGTCATTCCCTTTCAGTTCTGACATGAAGCGCATGAGCGTTGTGGTCAAGCAGTCCTTCCTTGAGGGAAATGAGCAGCTGACCTTCCACACCAAAGGTGCCGCTGAGGTGGTGCTGAAGATGTGCGATCGTTACATCACCCCTGAAGGCAAGATTGAGACCATGTCGGACGATAAACGCCAGGAGTACGAGAAACTCTTGGCCAACCTCAACGAGCAAGCCCTGCGTGCCATCTGCATTGCAGCCCGTGGCGTGGACAGTGCCGACAAAGACATCACGCTTGACGACAAGCCAAACCTCGTGTGCATGGCCATTGCCGGCATTCAGGATCCGCTTCGGCCCGAGGTGCGCGATGCAGTGCGTCGTTGTCAAGAAGCTGGCGTCGTGGTCCGCATGGTCACTGGCGATGCGCTGGCCATTGCCAAGTCCATTGGCAAGGACTGCGGTCTGTTTGACGAGACCAAGGATCATGTCTGCCTGGAGGGCCCCAAATTCCGAGAGATGACTCCCGCCCAGATTCAGGAGATTTTACCCAAACTTCGCATTCTGGCCCGATCCTCACCCACGGATAAGTTCAAGCTGGTCAGCGCCTTGCAGGAGCGGCGAGAGGTTGTGGCCGTGACGGGCGACGGCGTCAATGACGGCCCGGCTCTCAAGAAGGCCGATGTAGGGTTCTCCATGGGGCTTACGGGTACCGATGCAGCCAAGGAAGCCTCGGCCATTGTGCTCATGGATGACAACTTTGCCAGCATCGTCAACGCCATCAAGTGGGGACGTGGCATTTTTGATAACATCCGCAAGTTTTTGCAGTTCCAGCTCACCGTCAACTTTGTGGCCATCATCATCGTCTTTGTCTCGATCATGGCTGACCCAGAGGGTCGCGTTGACAGTGCTGCCGTCAAGCCCGTCCAATTGCTCTGGATCAACATCATCATGGATTCCTTTGCGGCCCTGGCCCTGGCCACGGAGCTACCCACTGTGGAGCTGCTCAAGTTCAAGCCCTATGATCGCAACGAACCCCTCTTCACTCGCTTTGTCCAACGCCGCATGTGCTTCCAGATTGTGATGCAGTCGATCACGCTGCTCACCATCTTGTTTGCTGGTGCGCGTTGGTTCGACTCGATGAAAGAGCCGGGTAACACAGAGAAGACCCAGTTTAGTCGCCAGCACTACACCATTGTGTTCAACACCTTTGTCTTCTCATCCCTCTTCAATCAGCTCAACTGTCGCAAACTGCGGGGTGAACTGAATGTCTTTGCAGGCTTAACCCGCCATGTCGTTTTTGTGGTGGTGTGGATCATCAGTGTCATCATTCAAATCCTGATTGTCGAGTTTGGCGGTGACTTTGTCGAGGTCTCGCGCTTGGAGCCCCACCAGTGGGGCGGTTGCATCGTTGCAGCGGCGTTTGTCTTTGTGTGGTCTACCATCTTCAATCTTCTGCCAAAGTCCATCACGACTGGAGATTGGCCCTGGTGGACCAGTGTGCTCGATGCGGTGGCCCGTTGTCTACCATGCCTCAAGTCGTGCCATAACCCAGACAAGCACGATGAGCAGAACTATGTGTCTGACGATCAAGACAGCCAAGGACAGGACACAGAGCCAGTCCAGGCCCATGACCTGGATGCACCAGCTGCTGCTGCTACCGGGCATCAAGGGTCAAACGATGCAGCACTCAAGTCCCAGAGCGAGGCGGCGCCTTCTTCTACAAATGGAGGTCGTCGTGGGTCGGAGCACGACCAACTCTTGTCATCCTCCACACAGGCTGCAGCAAGCTCAGGGGCACATGCCATGCACCCTGCTGCCTTGCGTCTCCTGTCACCAGACGGCCGTTCCTCCAGTCTCTCGCATGTGGAGGTAGATATCAAGCCCGACGCTAGCCCTCAGTTGCGGCGTGCACTCACGCTGCAATCGGAGCGCATGTCTCTCGACGCCGAGGCTCGCGCTCGACACCGTTGGCAACAGGCCGTGCAGGATGTGCGCACGCAAGTCGGCGTTGTAGATGCTTTCCGTCGCCACCGTCGATGAGGTGGACGTTTCTCTTTTGTACATTTTCCCCTCTCGTGCCTGTCTGCACGCCCTGCCCTGACTTGTCCTTTACCCCGTGCCACCCGATTTCCAGTGTCCTGCCCCACTCTGTCCTTTTGTGTAGACATGTTATTTGCTGGTCACATTCTTCTTGTGTCGTTTCTTTTGCAAACAATCAACTACAAAAATCCAAGTCTTCCTGAGTGACCAGAACGCGACGCTTGGCCACACACCTTCACCCTCCGTCGACCGAATAAAGGCATATGGGGCCGCGGTCTCAGCTTCAGCTTTGCGCCCTGCGCAAGCGATTGTTGTCACTAGGCCGAACTTTCGGTACTTATGCCTAAATCAAGTAGTGGCATATTTTCGTCCTCAAAGACCCCAGCCTCGGATGCCTGCCTGTGACAAAGGGAAGAAAAAGCAGGCATCATGCATCTTGTCAGTTGCGTGGTTGCTTTGAGAGAAACCGGGCGGGTCAGGGCGAGGGCATGGGGTCTGCGATGGCGCCCTGTCGGTCGTACCTATATTGCTTGCGAAAATAGAACCAATAAATCAACCCCCAAAATACCAAGGCGCCAAAGGACACGCCCGTCACTGGGGAAGCGACAGATTGGAGAGAGACACACATTTAATGATTAAATCCTAATGAGGGTTGCGCGTCGAGCCAGTCGGGCGAAGGCAAGATCTTTGAGGCTCGTACCGGCCCAGATGCCAGCCGAGGCCAGGAACGGAAGTACAGAAGCTGTCCAAAGCCCGCCGCCTACGATAGGCTCGTGTAGAAGCTGTTTATAGGAGAACGCCTGTAGAGCCGGCGTTTCGTTATCAGGATCCACCATCCGCAGCAACAGCAAACCTGACCAAAGGATCAGGCAACGCAAGCACAGTCAAGAAGGGGGCAAAGAAGATGATCAAGAGGCATGCGAGGTGGGGAAAGCAAGCGCCATAACAAATGACGTTGTACCAGTTGAAGTCACGCCCATGGACTGGCCTAGCTCTGCAATAGCACGCTGGACCCAGGCATCGGGCAAAACCCTTGACGCGGTGCATGCTAATCAGTGGCGAACATTCACCGAACAAAAGAGCTGGCTGGAGTGAAAATTGCCAGAGTCCTACCTCGGGGCTATGAAGAAGAAACACACAAGGTGCCAGGCCCAGACAGCAATGAGTAAGATGGCAAAAGGTAGCAAGGCCGACTCCAAACCGTCAAACTCCATGGTCTATACCGCAACGGTGTAGGGTGTTGCATCAGGTTGCATCAGCTGAGAAGCAGTGGCAGTATAAATCTACAAATCAATCAACGTACAGCAACCGCCGACGTAATAGTGTACTCTAGGGCCAAGCCAGACACACGCTCAATCGTGTCCCGATCGAGGGGAGGCTCTGCCGCCCACTTGTCGCAGGCTAATTGAATCTGCATGCGAACGAAGGGGCGATCAGTGGTGTCTGAGGTGCCACCCGATGAACGGTCGCAACACCCCAAGACCAAAACAAAACTCAAGAAGCACACACCAGAATTCCAGCAAACATGCAAAACGGAAAGGTGGGAAAGGCGCTAAAAAAATGATATTCGGTCAGCCAGGCCGATTGCCCTGTGGTCGAAACAATTAAACGAGACGGGGTTGGTTTGCCATATGGAGAAATGCATGCGACAGGATAGCCAGCTGAAACAGACCCTCCAAGAGTTCGAGCAGACGCTTGGCCGCGTAGCCAGCTAGCAGCGTCAGCGCCACTACAGCCTGAGACGGGCAGTCGCGTGAGGCAGGGCACTCCTTATGTTCGAACCTGCAGGCAACGTGAACGATGTCATCAAAAAGTCAAGACGTACAACGTGGAAGCCAAGCGAGTCGATGGCATCGACCGGGGTAACTTGTCGACCGGCGATGGGGCGCGAGCCCTCAGGATATATACCGCGATGAGCCTCGCCGTCTGGATAGATATGGCATCAATTTCATCAACACCGCGGTGCCCAAGGTGAGCGGTTGGCCATGGCGCAGCTTGCTAGTTGCGCGCACATATGGTCGAGCCAGCTGTCTGGTGGTCGCGACTGGCTGTCCTTGCAGGTGGCCCTCGACCTACCGCTGGGGTTTGTGTCCACCGAATCAATCCAGCGCTTGCGCACAGCCAGGTTGACGAGCAAGGTGCCAAAACAAATGCCAGAAACCAAGCCGACAGTGGCGGCACAGAGGGCCAGATCGCCTCCAGAGGAAAAGCCAAGGCTGACAAATGATTGCTTGATGCCCGCCGCTGTGCCATGCCCGCCCTCAAAGCCAAGAGCTACGACGGGGGCTACGAGCTAGCAAGCCAAGTTCACAATCAAGTGTTACGTGGGCGCTGCAGTCTTGTTGCAATGGCTGTGGGCATCGGGACAGGGTAATAGGTCATGTGGACGTGACTTACAACGTTGCTACCCAGAGCGGGCTCGAGCAGCACGGCAGTCAAAAGAGCAGGGATGGCGTATTGGCCCCAGGCCAAGATCTGAAAAACGAGGCGTAAGATCAACAGATGCGTTGTGGCGGCGTGCCATATGGGTCGGTACGGGGCATAGAGTGGATTTCTTCGTGCGCGTGCAATGGTGGCCTCACCTGCCCATACATTAGCTGAGGTCCCGACACACGCCACACCTCGCCCACGGGCGGAATGCGCTCGCCCATAAACAGTGTGCCAAAGACGATGCAGATGAGAATGTTGGGCAGTTCCGACCAGCCTGCTGTCCATTCTAAGATCCGATTTCGGTCCCACGCCCAAACCCCCGTGCATGTTGAGCCCAGGACCGGCGAAAACATGGTGCTCACCGGCAAAACCGCGAGAGCTGAGACGATGGGGCCTACCCTGGTCGAGAAGAGGCTGGATATCGGGTTGCAGCCGCAACAGTTGCACCAACAAGAGTCCTAGCAGCCCCCCGATCAAGCTTGCGGGGACATACAGCTGCCTGTCCTCTCAAGAAGAATGGGCACGGTGAATCGGCCCAGCGGCATCGCAAAACGCCGTCTCATTTGCCCCATGCCTCTAAAGTCCCGTTCCTGTCCCAACCAACCCCACCACCACATACCGCAGCCATCGACAACGAAAGCGCAACGCATGGCCCAGATACAACAGCAGACTCAAGAAAGAAAAGGAGGCCAGGACCACCAAATACACGGGCGTCGTGGTCGTCGTCGCCTCTGCCATCTCGTCGGCACGCCCTCCACCCTCCGCCCGCCGCCGATCGAAATTGTCAGCACGACGACCAACGGATACTTTATTTTGAAGGGGGATAAAATGAATTTGGGAAATTGAACATTGAGTATGCGTGGGGAACTGTTGTTTTGGCTCATTTACCTTGGCGACGGTGCACTCACACAAACGCTGAATCGACCGGAACTCTCGTTCGACAGAGGCTGGGGCGCGCGCGCATCAGCACAGCCGCCAGTCTTCAGCCCCGAGCGTCGTTGCTGGGTGCCGTGGTTATCAAACAGGTTGAACTTGTGGACGACTGTGGAGGCAGGCCTCTTTCCTTTATCATGGCGGAGCTTCCAGGCTTCAGTGCCACGGTGCTGAGTGCCAAGCCGCTGGTACGCCAAAGAAGAATCCGATGGCGACTTTCGATCCTCGTCATCGGCCTTGTATTGACTTGCTTCACTCATCCTCTTTTTTTGCTGATCCGCTGATTTGGCTGACACCTTGTTTCGGACGCTTGCTCGCCGATTCGCTTGCAGCCGGAGAAGCAACAGGAACTCGGTCGCTTGTGTCTGAATTTCGAGTTTATGGGTCAACGCACCGAGTTCTCGGGTTGGTGGGCGCCGCTGGCCGCACAATATTTCGCTTTCATGCCTCTCGGCTGTTGTCCTTATGCCAATCCATATCCTGCAATCCTTGTCGTGTGTCGTCTCAGATGTGCTGGTCGCGCGGCAAAAGGATGGAGGGTTGATTCCCGGGCCATCCCTCGCTGCGAGCGATGAACACAATGCCCTGCAGCAGCTCGCCAACAATCGCCTCATCATCACCTTGGCAGAGCTTTTCCGTGAAAAGAAGAAGAAGCAAGACACCGTTACGGTCATTGCGACTGCGGCCATCGATCTGCTCCCCCTGCTCTGGGAATCTGATTCGCCCACCTTTGAGGTGCCACTGCCCCACGTTGTGGCCCCGAGCAAATCAGACAGTGCCACCGAAACCCATGAGCAAGTGCAATACACGACCGTGTCTCTTCAACTCGAAGCCAACGCCGCTCTTCAATCTTTGAAGAAGGAGCAACTTCACAACATTGTGGAGTTTCACCTTCACGGTACATCACATGAGTGCCCATTTTCTGCCTTCTTTGATACTTACAGCCTGTCGTCCCGCCTCACCCGTCGTTTTCAATTTGTGTTCTTGGTCTTGCTAGGTGTTTTCAATCTACCCACCGCCATCACGCCAGGGAGTGGGATGCACGCCTACAATGTGCATGTCCCATCCATTGTGTCAGACCGCGAGCAGTTTGCCATCCACTTTAGCGATGGGAGAGTCAACCTGCCCACCCCGCTTGCCGAGGGCACCGAACCCAAAGCTTTGCAGGTCAGAGTTTCAGTCATTTTTATTTTTACTTGACCGATCGGCGCAACCTGCTAAAGTCATGCGTTTTATTCTTGCCACATCTTATTTTGCAATGCCCCTCGCCTCGTCGCCAAACTGCTGTCGGGTTCTCCCCCTTGCGTCCGACCCCGCCTGCGCAGACTTGTAAATACGGCGACGTGGTTGATGAGGCGGTTCGAGCGGAAGCCGAGCGCACCGCTTATCGTGTCGCCTTTGAACCATCGCTCTTCCGCCTGGTTCTCTCCTCGACCACGCAGAGCGAGTGCGTAGTCCATCCCACCTTGAATGCCATCTGGACCCATTGCGCTGGATGTGGTCGCCTTTCAGCATGTCCTCACTGGCGCGCTCATCTTGAAATATGCAGGCTGCAAGCCGCCATTGCTGCTAACCGCGAAGTCACAGCTGACGTGACCCGTGACTTGCGCCCGTCTAGCGCTGGACGAGTAAGCATTTGCTCAGATGGGATGGCGCGAGAAAGTCGAAGGAATCAAAATGTCTATCATGTTTGGTCCTCATCCTTGCATGTCCATTGGCGTTACTACGCCACTCTGAAACTACTTTTAGACCAGTGCCAAGTCACGTCCCGGAGGCACCGAAGATGTTCAAGGGGCCAATCGAGCCCATGTGACCATTCCTGTGCGTGCTATGTCCTCCAACCTTCAGTCTTACTCGGGTCGCTCGTGGAAGCGACACGAGTGCCGAGCGAGCCACCTACTCACAAAACCAATGTCATGAACCCGTTGCACGCACCACAGCTGACGCCCATCCTCTATCCGGGCGAAACGAATTGTGTGATGAATCTGGGCCTCCACGCCTTGCCTGTCCCAGAGACTGAGGGAGCGGCCAATGATGAGCTCAAGGTGCCCAAAACCTCCAAAGGTCGCAAGATTGCCACGCCTCAACCCGAGACAATGATTGCTGAGGTGCGACATCCCACACCAGCACACCATCTCTTAGCACAGCTCTGGTGGCAGGATGTTATGCTTCGTGCCTCCATTTCACCATCTTCGACTCTGCTTGTTCCCCCGTCCTTTCAGGGCTCGGCTTTTGAGGAGGCGCATTCATATTTGCAGCTGCGCCTGCACGTGTTTCGGCCATTTGTCAAGGAACGATCGCGTGCCGAACTTGAGAAGGACGTGTCCGAGCTCATTCCTGAGCGTGACATTCAGCCTTGCCACGCTGTCACTGCAGCCATGGTATGTCTGACCTCATGCTGCCGAGTGCGATTCGATTTATCATCGCCTGCCCTTGAGCTTTTCTACTTACAGCTGATAACACGTTTACTTGCTGATATAGGCGGACAACGAGTTCAAGGAGACTGTGACGAGCGTGGCGGAGGACTTGCTGAATGTGTACCGACACACGGTGGCAGAGCACCCGGAAGACACGGCGACAGACACTCGCGAGCGTCTGGTCTATCATCTCAACGTGACTGGCCAATACCATGCCTTTAAGGAGCAGCTGAAGCAAAAGGTCTTGGCGATTGTGCGTGAGCGCTTTGCGGGGGCAAGCACCGCCATGCAAAATCGCGAAACAAAGCAGGAGTTTATCTCTAAGCTTTACGTCTACTTGTCTCAGCGCATGCATGCGAGGTCAGCCATGTCTACGAAACACAGGAGTAGTTTTTTTTGTTTGTTTTTCTTTCTTTCTTTCTTTTTTTTTCTGTCCATGTAAACCTTCGTTTTACGGTTTCTTCTGGTTGCTGTTTGCATCTTTGCTCCGTGTTGATCCTCACGCCCTTGCCTCTTTTGTTGGTGTTGTAAACAGTTTGAATGGCCATTTTAGCGGCACTTCGTCACAAGAGGGCGGTGAACTCATTGTGGGAGCCGAGGAGTTGCAGACGATGGCAGATGAGGCCGAGGTTTGCTTCAGTGTCATGATCAATCTGAACTGTTGGCGCGCTTGGCAGTGTCATCCACATTTGCTCATTGCCAACTCGTTTGGATTTGGCTGTTGTGTGAAATAGGCCTTGGAGGAGCCGGACAAAGCCTCTCTGTACCATGCAACAGCGTGTAGCAAGTCCCCGGATGATGCCAGCGTATGGCTGCGCGCTGGTGATTTTGCTTGTCGGCAATGCGACTACTCTAAGGTTTGTGCGCTCTCAATCCCAGAGGTGGACGCGGCGGTGATGTGGGCTTTTCGAAACTCACACATCTGCAATGTCTCGCGCTTGATTGAATAGGCTTTTGAACGCTATCAAGAGGCGGCATCTCTCGAGCCTAGCTCCAGCTTGGTTCTCATGCGCTGCGCGCTGGCCATGTTCATGGAGCAACGCCCCGAGGACGTATGTAATTTGACCCTCCTGCACGGCTCGCCTCTTGCTGGTCTGTCTCACGCGTCCATAACTCGTCTAACGCCGATCACTTTGGTTTTGAACTGATAGGCAAACAAATTTGCTTCGCTGGCCACTACGGTTGCACCAGAAGATGCATTGGCATGGTTGCTATCGTGCCTGCTTCATGGTGAACTTGGAGACGTGATCATGGAAGACATGTGCTTGAACAAAGCCAAGACGCTGCAACCCGACGTCGCCGAGTTGTTCTTTGAGGCGGGTCGTGTCAGCGTCAATCTCAATCTGGTGTCCTTTGCCGCACGGTACGTTCAAAGTGGTGAAAATGAGACAACAGAGGTTGGACGGGAGAGCACTTGGGTGACCTCATGAGCACCTGAACCCTGTAGTTGTGTCAACGAACTGCACCTACGCCAACACCGCCCGTCGTCCACTGCCGAGATTGAGGCTCGCTTGGCGCTGACCAACACACCGGCTGAGCCTGAGCGAGCACGCGAGATTGCCGATCAAGCCTTGTCCCAGGATTACAACAACCCGAATCTCTGGGTGATTCTTGGCGAGGCTCACACAGTACAAAAGAATGGTGCGTGGGGGCTATGGCTCGTACCCGTGCATATGCACACCTTCTGTTGCAATGATCGCTGGCATGCGCATTTGTCTTGGGCGCGTCGTTCTTGGCACGTTCAGTTTAGTTGACTCATTTTCATCTTGACCTGCGTGGGAAATTCCAGATCACGAGGCACAACGGTGCTTCGCACATGCAGTGGCGCTTGAGCAAACGGCCGACGGGCACGAGCGCGTCCTGTTGCTCTTGGGGCACCTCTACCTCAAGACCGAAGACTTTGAGGAGGCCAAGGCTGTTTTCCTTCAGGCCTGCACGCGTCGAGCCTCGGCATACACGTGGCGTGGATTGGGTATCGCCTGTTATCGCCTGTCCGAGTTGGCTGAGGCAGAGGATGCGCTAGCTGAGGCCAACGCCTACGATAACACGTTGGCCGATGTGTGGGGTTATCTCTGTCTCGTGGCCATTCGAACTGGACGGCGTATCGAGGCACAGCAGTGCTTCAAGTACATGCGTCGCCTCGTAGCAGATCAGCCTTCAGAGCTCCTCACGGAGATTAGACTCGAGATGCAAGAGAGCAACATGGCCCTTGACGAGGCATAAGCCTTTGCCTGGCCATGTGTTCCCACCACAACCTATGCGGACCACATTTGTAAATTGACATTGACTTGAAGCTCAAGAGTGACCTGGGCTGCCGCTTCTACAGCCCCCTTCCCATCACACACCCGGGTTGGGAGAAGCACTCTGGCACATAACCAGGGAGGGGAAGGGAGGAGGCTCCTCGCATCGAGCCATCATATTATTATTGTGGAGGGCTGTAGAGAGAGATGTAGAGAGACAGAGGGAGACAGAGAGACAGAGACAGATACAGATACAGAGAGACAGAGAGACAGAGAGACAGAGAGGATAGAGACACAAAACAACAAAAGTTTTGTTGTGATTTTGTTGTGCGTGGCGACAGCGGCGGCGTCTTTCGAGTTGTCGGGTTGTAGACTGTTGGACACGCTTCCTGGTGGGCCAAACTTGTTGAGTTCTGGGTTGTGAGTGGTATTTGGCAAGGTTGCACGGCCTTCCACGTTTCGCCATGTCGCGATCAGGCTACCACAGCGTCGTCTTCAAGGATGGCGGGAGTTACAAGGTATGCAAGCACACGATCAGCGAGCGCGCTGGGGCAGACGGTGCTGATCAGTATCCATTCCCAGCACCTTTCGCTCTGGCACTCACCGTGCGCACCATGACACCGCTCCATTTTTTGCCTTCCTCCGTCAATCACCTCTGCATGCTCACCCACTCACTCACTGTCCATGATGGCTGGATAGGGTAACTGGGAGAACGGCGTTCCTGCTGGTGAGTCCTTGCGGCCATAGGCACCCTGCTGGCGATTAGTGCGTTCCATAGGCTTACCGTTGGGCCCCTGGTGGCGAGTCACGCAGGCTGGGGCATATCTCGCGATCCCCGCGGCAATGAATACACCGGGCAGTTTAATGGTGGTGTTCCCAATGGGTTCGTGACGCGACGCACCTTGCTTGGCCGCGCCTTGCTGGGCCGCGCCATGAACTGCTGATGAGTGCTCTTATTTGCCATCATCACACGTGTTTTGCCCTTTAGCAAGGGCTCGTTCATTCATGCCGATGGAGAGCGGTACGATGGCACGTTCATCGACGGCAAGAAGCATGACATTGGCTACTGGAAGCACCCCGAGGGCGACAAATACTGGGGCCAATTTACCCACGATGTTCGCCATGGCTACGGTACGCAGGATTGATCCAAAGCGCATCTTGTCTGTCGGCAAGCGACTCATGAAGCACCACCTCGCATGTGTACTGCCGCTGTGCATTTGTGTTGCTGTTTGGGGCTTGCAGGAGTTTATACCAACTCGCTGGGGCAATCATTCACTGGCTTGTTCAATCAGGGTCAACCCTACAAACAGTGCGAACTGCCCGAACACGTGCGCCAGGCCATTGCTGATATCGAGGTTGGTTTCAGTCCCTGCGAGGCTTGCCCCGCCTCTACCCCAATCTCATGCATCACACTGCTTCACCATTGCCAGGTGTACGGCGAGGTTGCTGGCTCCATCCGCCGCCCTGGCAAAAAGAAAATTGAGACCGAGGTGTCGTCTTTTGCAGCCGCTCCAAGCGTGCGATGTGCTCGGTATTCCCTTAGCTTCATCGAGCTCACACTCTTGCATGTGCTACTTTTCTGGCATTTTCAGCACAAGGAAGTCATGATCGCAGCCGAGTGCCCCTACGGCGATCTCGTCAAGATGGTGCGCCTTTCACCGACATGCTCCCATTTAACATGCTCTTATATGATATGATGCACGCATGTACAAAACCTGCTCGCATGTTCTTATTGTTGGACACCACTTGCTGCCTCAGAAACCTTCGGATCCCATTTACGATGTGGCCTTTGTTTCCGGTGTGTCTCCGCAATATGCCCGCTTCCCCTCGTGTCTGTCAGCAGTTTGTAAGGGTTCCGGTAGCTTGTGTTTTTTTGCATTCACTAGCAGGCGGTGCTGCCCTCAATATGCTAGATGCACCGAGTTCCCATGCAGTTGCCGAGGAGCAGATTTATGATGTTGCCGATAACAGCCGCCAGCCCTCCATGCGTGGCAAGGCCCCGGCACCAGGTGCCTCCCACGATACCTACTTTGCGGTTGGCACGACCTCGGCGCAGGCTAAGCAGCACGACACTTACATGGACGTCAACGTGACTGCCCGCTCTGGCAATCCCAGCACTGACAATGGCCTGCCACCAGCAGATGTCAACGCGCTCAGTGCCGGCATGGCCGATTTGGGCATGGAATCTTACCTCGATGTGGGCGAACCAACGGAAGATACCACCCTCTATGACACGTCCAGTAGCTTGCCTCCACCTACTCAAGCAGGTGGTGCAGATCCCAGCGCTGAGGGCATTTACGACCTGGCCCGCAAGGGTTCTTATGGAGGTAGCATTGCAAATCTGCCTTCCAAGCAAGCGTTGGCTGCGGCAGGCTATGACTCGGCCGCTCGCTCACCCAGTGCCGCACTGTACGACACAAAGCCTGCGCAACCTGATGGCGTCTATGGTGATGCGGCGCCTGGAACCTATGGTGATGCAGCAAACCCCAGCGCCGGGCTGTATGACACGGCCGTACCGAGCCAACCGATTGCTCGTAGTGGCACGAACCGAGATTCGGCCGCTCGGCGGCCGGCTCCTCCCTTACCAGAACGTCCAGCTCGCCCCATGATGCCCCCGCCTAGCTAGTGCGCAAGTGCCCTTTCTCTCTAGTGCGTGCCACATCCAAAAGCCCCACTCCGATCGTGCTACTTGCGAGCCCTTCTTCCCCCTTGTTTTTCCCCCACGAAACCCGTTCTCAACATGTTGTGTTCGTCCTTCCGTGTGTGGACAGCAAAAAAGTAGAAATTTCAAAAAGAAATGATGATCTGATTAATATTTGACATACATGACCATCTCTGTATGCTGAAGAGATACACGACAGGAAAAATAAGCAGAATAACACATCAAAGACAGGGTAGCACAACCGCCACATCCGTTGCAAAAACTCAAACTTGCTCCATCAATGAAAAAGCCAGAGCCACTGAGCTATCCACCACCAGCTGCAAGAACACCAGGCTGTGAGCTGAACAAAAAGCATAGAATAGGAGATGGTCTTGCTCAATCATTACCAAACAGAAAGTTGTCATGTCATGCCCTCGCGGCATTCCAGGAGGACAAAAATAGAAACGAACCTGCTGCATGGACGTGATGTATCCAGTGCGCTGATAGGCGATGGTATACATTGCCGTGATAGGAGGCACCAGTAGGGTAAATTCACCCGCGCTGTCCGTAAGCAAGTAGGTGAGAACGAACACAAATGGCACATCAGGAGATGTGAGCGAGAAGAAAGAAAGGTATGAGCCGATGAGTCAAAGCGGGCTAGCTTGGCATGACAGACCTGTTTGTGACAGAGGCAGCTTCAGCCGGCCCTGAAATTTTGACCACCACATTTGCCAGTGGGAGACCGGTCATGATGTCTGTGACAACGCCCGAGATCAAAAAGTCCATGTTGTCTTCAGTGGTTGGCTCTACAGTCGTTGATGTTGAAGATGATGTGGTGGGCTGGTTGTCGCTAGTGCTAGTGGTTGTAGGAATGGGCAAGCAAGCGCAGCGAGTGCAGCTGCCGATGGTCAGGTTGACAGAGTATGCCCCGGGTTTACAGTTGCACGAGCGGTAAGGCTCGCAGCTTGTGATGGGGGGTGCGGCAGACGTTGTAGTTGATGTGGTTGAAGTGCTGCTACTGCTGCTTGACGGGCCATCCACATCGCTGGAGCTTGTCGAGCTCGAGGCGGCATTGGTAGTGGTGGTTGTCGTGGTGGTGGTGGTGGTGGTCAAGACGACCCGGCGCGTCGTGGTTGATCGAACCGTAAAGGGCAAACCAGCAATGGCCTGACAAGAGCAGACGGTGCACTGATTTGAATCAAGTGTATACACGGCCTCTTCGTATTGACCACATTTGCAGGCGTGCACAACGGGGCAAACCCGCTCGGTCTATGCCCATCAGCAAATGGTGGTAGGAATTGATGTGAGTGTGCAGCCACAGCGATGCCCGCGGATTCGGCTGTCGGTGAATGGCCGAGGAAATTCAGCACATCGGGGAGCACACGAGATGGTGGTAATTGATATGGGACCAACAAGCGACACTCACCGGGATGGCAACAGTCGTTGTTGTTGGGGCGCGGGTCGTGAATTGGGGTGCTTCTGGCAAGACTAGTGGAGTGCAGCTGTGCGGAAGGCCATTCGTGGTCAGGCCTCATTTGTGCAATGTACAAGAAATACAGGACTGCCAACACGGATAGCATAACAGGCAGCAAGACTAACCGACACGAGGTGACGCAACCAGCCCCGTTGGTATAGCGGACCTTGACTTCTCCATAAAAGCACCGACACTTGGGTTCGGGCGCACATGTCAGGCTGTAGTAGTATGGTGCGATACCATCGAATGTCATGCATGAGTCAGAGTCACTGCGCTCCACGCCAAGGGCCAGGCCACAAAAAGCACATACGCTGCCGTGCTGGTGGTTGTGGTTGGTCGGGGGGTAGTAGTAGTTGTTGTTGTTGTCGTCGTCGTCGTAGTGGTGGTAGTGGTTGTCGTAGTGGTCGTGGTAGTAGTTGAGGAACTGGGCCCACTGTTGTTGGAAGTGGAACTCGAGCTTGATGCACCACTGTTGGAGGTGCTTGTGGGGCCCGTGCGGGGACGCGTGGTCGTGTAACGCACCGTCACCTCTGGGTTTGCACCCACGGCCTTGCAGGCACACACTGTGCATCTGCAGAATGACAACGCCATGAGCAACACGAGGCCAGCAAGAATACAGCTTTGTTGAGGACGATGCTTTGATCAGACAGGCTCTTTTTCGTTTCTTAACGCGTTGATGCGATCATGATAGCATGCCGACGTACGTGGCAGAGAGCTCTTTGAAGATGGCAAATTCATCTGGGCCGCAGGTGCAGGGCTGATTGCAAGGCCCAAAGGTCAAAGCCTCGTCATCATCGTCATCAAACCCCTCATCATCATCTGTCCAACAGCTCAGTCGCCGGGGTCATTGGCGATCGATGCGGTGGTGGAGCACAACGCAGGCAAGGGATCGAATTGTACAACACGCGTCTGACCTGGTTCATTGGTCGGCTCGGCTGTTGGCATGTAGGCATCGTCCTCGCAGTCTTGCAGGCAAATTTGGTGCTCCAGGCGCTGAACGTCATGCAAGACATGGTGTGCTTGATGAGTCAGCACAAGCAGGAAGGCCAGTGAACATGGTATGTGAGAGTTTGGGAGGTGGACTCACGCATTCGGTGCGGTCAACGAGGCGCTGGATATCATTTTCCAACTGGTCGGCTTCACGTTTGCACAAAGCAGCAATCACTTTGCAGCGAAAAGCACACTAGAGTTGTGCAACGTCGTCAGGAGAAAACCCCGCATGCGAGAGCGGCTCAGGCGCTGAATCAGGCCTGTGAATGTTGAGCGGGTGCCGATATATCATGGCCTGACCTCTTTATAGGGCACACCGAGAACTATGACGGGATCCGTGCCGGCCGGCTCTTCTTCGGTGGTGGGAGGCACCATGGTAGTCTCAGCCAGTAGCTCGGTGGTTGTGGCATCTTCTGTTGCTGCCATGTTTGTAGTGGTCGGCATTTCAGTCGTGGCCGTGGTGGTAGTCGTCGTGCTCGTAGTGGAGCTGATTTCCGGCGCACACACCAGAACAAACTTGACAGCATCGGCCGTTACGATGCGACCGGCATCGGCCGTATCCACCTCGACAATGACGCCCTCGCGGTTGGAGCCTCCGACAAAGTAAAACTCTCCCAGAAGCTGCCATTGGTTATTTTGAGAGGGCTTTTGCGTCTGATGACATGGGCATTCAACGGGGAGAGAAAGCACAATGAATTGACGCTGGTTGCCCGCATTGGTCTTGCAAGAGGGCTCATACTTGCAGGCCCATCAGCAAATAACGTTGAGTGGACAAAATGTTGGGTCTGTTTCGGTGTTTTTGCTGCGTGTCTGACCTGATCGACAAAGATGGAGTCACGGGCAAAGCCGTCGAAGGACTTGACGACATACTCCACGTTCGTGGCGCGATCGTCGGCCCGCGAATAGGACACGTAGACTTTGTAGGTGCCACCACGGAGGCGACGCGTCGTGAACTTGACCTGTTCACTGCTATCCAGGCCACCGATACTGGCCCAGAAACTGTGTCCTCGATAGCCCTTGCCGTCGGTTCGCAATTGCTGTGGCAGTGCGAAGGCAGAGGTTCAGAGTGAGCAACAGATGTGCCAGATGAAACAGAAAAGGGGCAAGTCCAATATCTAGGGTGGGCGCAGCACCGTTAGCTCTGGCCCGACAACGAACCCAGGAGCTGCCATCGATAAAGGCTTGGCCCAGCTCGGAATCATACACCTGCTTCTCGCTGATGCAGGCCACTGTGGCAGAAGGGAGTCAAAACGATGGTGAGAATTGAGTGAGGCGGCGCGTGAGAGCAGACGACTGCAGTTTCACGTACAGGACATGTGCACCAAGGCCAGGCAGGCCAGGGTGGTGATGCGAAGGGCTGAAACATGCATGGTGGCGTTGTATGAGTTGCTCGTCGGCCCGCTATGGGAAAAGCAGAAGAAAAATGCCCTTCTCCCGGCCCCGGCCTTCTTTCCTCTTTGCCCTGCCAGCTGGCCTCATGGTACCCGTTGGTAGCCGTGTGGTTTGGGCGCGTCTGACGACAAGCTTTGGTCCACGTCTCGCGTCAACGACCACCGCCAAGGGCCATCACGGCGGTGTCAAGGGTCAGCCACGATGCTGTACAGCAGCACTCGCAAGCAAGAGAACCCTCCCCCCCCCCCCCCCCCCTTGGG